AGTAGATAAAAATATATTTTGCTTTAGTCTGTTGCCCTCCAGTGGCCAAATGTCAACGTGGGAACTTCATCTTTTACATGGCTCCAAAGCTAAGTAACTGAAATGTAATTGAAATTCAGGTTATGATACATGTAAGTATTACTTTATCTAAAGGTGAAGACAAACTGTGAACCATTGATTTCTTTGGTCATGAGAACATTGTCTGCATATTTATGCAAAAAAAGTGCCTCCTGCTATGCATGCGCAAACAGGTTTACTTTTTTAAATACAAGCAAACCTATAAAACATGATGCCCTTGGAATTTAGTAAGATGTGACCTCATTTCAGTTGATGATTTCCTATTAAATAAGTGTTGAGCTTTGATCTCATCCCAACTGCAACTAAACATGCAGGTGTGTTGTTGAATGAGATATGCGTCAGAAGGAAACTGAAGCTGAAAAATGTTTTGTCGGGTGCTCAAATTCTTTGAAATATGGAAACATTAAAATAAATTTGTTGAAAAGAGACATACAAAAAAAAGAACTTCATCTATCAATTGTTTAAAAAAATGGTGGATAATTTTGTTTGTCTTTTATACATTTTTTTTATGTGTATTTGAGTTGGAGCTAAAACCTACATGTGGACTCCAGGGTTGATGGAAGTCTTGTCCACTACTTTGTCGAACTCTGTCAAAATGTCTTCAAGGGAACCATCATCTCCAAAGCCTCCCCACTCCGTGTTAATACACATCCTTCCATCCTCACCCTCCACACGTTTCACATTTTTCATCTCCTCCATATAGCAGGCATTGGTTCCTGTTCCTGTGGACGAAGAGGAGTTGTTTACCAAACAAAGCAATGGAAATTAGATTTCTGAGAATAATGTTTTTGTTTTTTCTGAATTCTGTTGTTTTAGCTTAATACATGACAATCAATTTGCACTTATTTCTTTATACTTGGTTTGTTTTTCTCTAGTCATTTTGTGTTCATTAGTGACTTAGAAGTGATGATGCCTTATTGGGCATTAATTGCATCAGCAAAGTGGTAATTTCATAGAGCTTCAGTACCACCACCTGCTGGCCAAGTGCATAATCAGTGCATAATCAGTG